TACCTGATGTAGTGCTTTATCGTAATCTGATGTGCTGGGGAGTACGAGGATGTAAAGGTGTTATATAGTGTATAACAATGGTAAAATGCTGACATGCACATGAAGTTGTTTCTCCCTCTTTAAACTTACTGAGAATGTAAAGTCTGTTGAAGAAGGTGACTCGTGAGCTAATATTCACAGGCTAAATATAATGAAGGTGTTAAGTATTATCTTGAGGTATTATTCTGTCCAGAAATAACTACCGATATTCTGGGCATACTTCATTAACATACCTCATCAAAGAGCATCAAACCCAAAAGTTATAAAATGGTTTAAGTGGTTCATCTGACTGAAGACAACATTTTCTGAAATTTCACATAGAAATAGAGCATCTACAGAAACTCTCTTCTGAGTGTGCCTTGTGAGAGACAAGTGTGCCTTACACTGCTTGCATTTTAATGTTTGAATTATTGCAAGTTTACGGCATGTATTTTGTAGGGTAAGAGAGAGAGAATGTGTTTTTTATGTAAGAACTAGTTTGCGGCATAGGACGTTTGTACCAAGACTCCTGGAGACATATGGTATCTGAGATACGATTATGCATCCCATCTTCTCTCCTGTATCACTGATTTGAAGTTGCCATTTGTTTCCTTCAGCAGGCAGTCAGTGCTAATGTCTGCATTGTTTGATTGTAATTAACATGCCCATATTTGTTGTAATTTGGTACATTCAGCTAAATGAAAACTACCATAGCAAACTAGAAGAGAATGACTTAATAAATAAAATGTTGACAGTCATTTGCTTGGATGTTAGCAAGCATGATGACTGGAGTATTGGTTTGAAAGTATTCCTGTGTTTCTTGAGGCAAAAGAAAAAGTCATCTCATTTTTGCAGTGACTGCAACAGATTCCAGCTCTTATTGAGTGGTACTTAATGATAATCTTGCTGCCTCTGCTTTGTCTTGCATTGGCAGAAGTTTGCAGTCTCAAGGTCATAGGTGCTTGTCCTGGCAAGATTGCTGAAGTGCTGATTTACTGACCGGTGTTGCCTGGGGCAATGTGTATGTTTCTATAAAACTGTGGGAAATGTAGTCATATGTTATATTACTGTATGTAAGGCAGTCATTTCTAATGCTGTGTAAGCTGCAACAAGAAGCATGCTGAAGAATGTTTTCGCTTTTCTGTGTTGTTTTTCTGTTGAGCCAGAGGAAGGTTGGTAAGAAATGAGTTACGTGTGTGACAAAGAAGGGCCTTTGGGTCTAAGGAAAAAAAAAAAAATATTTGGATTAGGGTTTTTTTTCTGGGCTTTAAATTACATCTGCACTTGTTTTTGTTCAGATAACCCCTGGTGAAAGTCATGGCTTGTTATATATGTTAAAAGTTTTCTGCTTGTCATCTTATTTCCAGGAGTTGGCTAACTTATGAAAAGCAGCCTCATTTAGCTTTCTCCCCTGACAACTGACTGCTCTCTAGAAACAAAATGAAGCAAACAAACAGAACTGTAGGCTCCAATGGCAAAATCACTGAGAGATCAAGTTTTGGGAAGGAAATTCTAACCAGTGGGTTTTGAGGGCATAGATTCTGCTGCCAAAGCCTCTATTCTGGTTGATCAGCTGGGAAAAAGGAGTTATTTTTTAAAACGAGATGTGGGGAGAAAGATTCTTTCCTGTCTTTCTTCTTTTCTTCTTAGAAAGATTCAGTTCAGAACAACAGATAAGATTTTGTGGAAAATCATTCAGCCTTGGCTTTGTTTGGTGGATATGGCAGTGTTAGGTTTAAGGTTGGACTTGAAGCTTTCTGTGAAGGTCTTGCAGCTTTTTGTTGTATCTTATACCAGAGTCTGAGCAATTCTGTTGAATTTCTTTTGTACTTTTTATTTTTTTAATATGGGTGAAATACTTGGAATGAATAAAAGGGGAATTTAAAGAATGAATAGTTTTTGCTGGGCATATTGCTTCCAGCGAAGAGCAGACCAATTCATTTTCCTAATAAGGCTGTGCTGGATGTTGGAATGTTTTGAATTGCATTAAATGTCATGAAAAGCATTCATTGGAGAGGAATGGCTTGTGGTATGTTTACAGAGCAAATTTGATCACGTTTGGTCAAAATGAACTGTTTACACAGGCTAAATATAGCGCCTTTTTTTCCTTCAAAAAGAATAAATGACTTTGATATAGAAGCCTGTGCAAAAACTTTGTGCTGTTTCATTTTCAGTATTAGGCCATCAGTAAGTGTTGGCCACTGCTTTTATTTTTGTCTATAATAATTTGTATGAATCTTGAAACTGTAACCATTTGTCAAGGTCTTTTGTGTAAGTTGTTTATAATAAGCATTTACACAGAGCATTTATCTCTTTGCTTTGTTTGTATGCAATTGAAAATATTGCATAAACTAATATACTGAACTGTTAGTTTTAAATCATTCAGAAAATATCCTGCTTTTTTTAGTAAGTAGTAACAGAGCAAGTGTGTCATCTCATTGTGAAAGCCTTTATCATCAGTTATCATACATTCAATGTGACCAAGCCAGCATGAAATTCTAATATGTTTAATTGCTAGGTGACAAGCAAAGTGCTAACAGCTAAGAAAATATGCAAGATTGTGCCATTTAATGATTTTTTTTGTCTATGCAATTTGATAGTATCTATCAAAACCTTAAGGGAAACGGCCCTGAAGGAAGTATTTCTTAAATGACTGTTGGGTGTGTTTTGCTCTCAAACTTGAAGCTAGCATTTCCTTTTGTACTGTCTTGTCTAACAAGGATGCATTTCTCACATTCAGATCTTGGTGGCTCAGTTTGCTGGGTGAGCATTTTCTTTATATGATACAGGATAAATCACAGATTTCAGTCTGATTATGATCTGAAGTCAAGAAAGCCAAGTTAAACTGTTTGAAGTATGTCTGGGACACACAAATTAATGTCCTTGTTTCAAGTCTATTTAGGGGAAATAAAGTAACGTTATATTATCTGACTCCAGTGTTAAAAGAACATTGGGAACGTTCCAGCCTCTTTTTTTTTTTTTGCTTATCTTTGTGTTATACTTTCGAAGATGAATTTTGAAGGGTATGTCTTCAGATCATCTGGACATAGTGGTTTGAAGTATATTTTTCTCAGTGCTGTATTGATGAATGCAGAGCAATTTCATCCACTGCAAACTCAAATTTGATTTTGTAAAAACAAACTAAAAAAAAACAATCTAAGTATGTTCCTTTTATGAGACTAAAACTTCAAGGTCCAGCACTAAGCAAAGAGATTTCTTTTTTTTCTCAAGCATGAAATATGGTCATTGACTTGAATAATGAATGTCTTTCTGCTTCTTACTCTTAGATCAGCTTAATAAATACACAAAATGTTCCAAGTTAAAAAGTTATTAAAAAGTTCCAAGTTATTAAAAAAGTCTTAAAATATGGAGCGAGATGCATGTGTCCTTCTAACTTAAAAAGAAGGAAAAGTTTCCATATGTACTGGCACTTTATTCTTGCTTTTGTTGCTGCAAATTGACAACTCTGCAATTAGGAGTGATTAATGATGCACCCTAGTGCTTCTGAGGGCTGGAGGTCAGTCTTCTTATAGGCCTCATACCCTGTGGGAACAGGGAGAGCAGACCTTTTCCTCACTGCAGACAAAACCCCCTCTCTGTTGAGGATTACTGTTGATGTGGACATAATGTGTGTCAGCAGCAATGCGAAATTGGTGAAGGCAAAGTGCAGAAGATGATCTTCTCGTGGTGGATTTTTTTTGTTTTTCCTTTTCCTCAAAACATAGCGTGTAGTTTTTAATGTATCTTCCTTTTTTAAATTAGCTACTGACCCTGGAACACTATTGCTGGTTTGGAATCTGAGCTCTCCATGTTTTCCTGGTAGAAACAGGAAAGCTGATAGGTTTATACAGTAGAGGTGTTTTAAATTGTAACATCTGTTAGCTGATCTCCAATTAAACAAACGTATTTGTTTCCCTGGCAAATTATCTTCTGGAACTGAGATTCCAGCTTCAGTCCTTCAGAACCCTTTTTAGAAGACTTGTCGGAAGCTGTAGCTGGTCAGGCAGGATGTGATTGCTGGTTCTTGGATCATTAAGGATGCCAGCTCTTATGAGCAGCTACCAAATATGGGCAGAAATGTTTTGAAGTGTGGCAAGAAGCCACTTTTCTACCAAAAGAGCATGAAAAGATTCAAGTGTATCAGCAGCAGTATTTGCAGATAGTGTTAGTGTGTCAGGTTTTTTGCTGGTTGGTTTATTTATTTTTTGTTTAATGTTATGTATGTATTTTTGCACATAAGTGTATGCAAATCTGAAAAAAAACTGAAACCCAACCCAACTATCAAGTGAGGTGCCTTTATCTGTAACACTTTGCCAGTTCACTTCAGGTATAACAGAATCTGTCAATTCTTTATCATATTAATCCTTTCCATTGTGATACTTCCTTTCCTTCCCACCACCCCATAGTAGTTTCAATGCACCTATTGTTTGGAAGAAATGTTTTTTGCTGTGTACTGTGGAGTTCAAGTGACATTAACCTTACCCTTGAAGACCAAAGACTGTGCAAAAAGTTTCTGTGTTATTTAATTTCCTAAGTCCTTCAGAAGGATTTTTGTTGTTGTTCTAAAAGGAAGGCATCTGATATAAGCCTGAATAAAGGTTATGCACTGTTTAAAATGCAATTTACTTAACTAGAGCTTTTGAGTTACGTGACATAGCATCTTATGAAAAGAAGGAAAACAATAAGCAAATTAGTCTTCTAACTGGTGATGAGGTATTATGAATTTATAAATAAAATATTACTTGATGATAGATGCTAGAGTTCCTAACACTGTATCTGGATAAATTAATCCAGTTTGGTTTTGCCTTTTCCTTGTGTTAACAACAATGTTGTAGGTTTTACTTGAATACTTGTGTTTTCTTTAGAGGAAACAAAATGTGATGTTTTATATATCTGTGATGACATGGAAGACAGAAATGCTTAAACAGTAAAGAACTTATATGTATGTTTTTACACTTACACGTATGTTTTTTCTGTTACAGAGTGTCTTCTGTGCAAAAACCCGACATTGTTCAGGTACCAAAGGTATGTATATCACAACCAAGAAATGCAGCATGTGGTACTAACTGTTATCCATCTGTCACACCCTGTTCTTGATAAGCAGTCAGTCAAACTTTCTTTTCAATATAACATGCTTGATTTCCCTGTCTTACATTAAAAGCATTGCAGCATTTGAATCTTGAGTGATCCCTTCCCACCCCCCCAAAAAAGAGAGACGTCATTAAAAGACCTGACAGATGATTATTAAAAAAGAAGAAAAGCTTAATGAATATTTTCTTCCAACTCTTAGAACATTATATAGAAAGATATTGTTCAAGTTCTTCCTTTATCCTTAAGGGAGAAACATTAGTAGCGTTTTTTAGTGATGGGTTTTGCTGTTTTTTGTTTGTTTTTTTTTTTTTTTTTTGTTGTTGTTGTTGTTTGGGTTTGGTTTTGGTTAGGTTTTTTGGGGGTGCTTTTGCATTTTTTTGCTGTTTGGGGTTTTTTTTGGGGGGGGGATTTTTTTTTTTTTTATTTGGCTGGGGATTTTTCAGTGAGGACTGCAATCTTCCTTTGTGTTTGGAGAAAGTTTATCTAAATATTAGAGTTTGAAAGAACAGTTTCCCTCACTTTGCTTAAAACCGCGGGGAATTATTTGTTCCAAAGTGCTTCTAATGTTTTGTTCTCAAGCAAATCCACCTTTTGGATAAGAAGGCTGTGTGCAAACCTGAAATTGCTTACAAATGGCCTGTACATAAAAATCCTCTCCAGTAGACATAAATAATTTATAGTATATTATTGCATTGCTGACTGTGATTTCAATGGCCACAGTTTGGGAACCACCATGGTGAACCATAGCTCCCAGAAAAAAAAGTGGGTTTTTTTGTGTGTTTTGATCTGACAAGAGTATATGGAGACATTGAAGCCCACTGATGGAGTGCAACTAGAGAAGCTCGCTGAGTCTTGAAGGACTGGCCACTAATAAATGAGCTCCAGGGCTCTGGTTCTGCTCTTAAGGGCTGTATGAACAGATAAATATGTACAGTGTGTCTGTACACGCACCCATGCTGGTTTTTTATGGGGAATGTACATATCTCAAGTTGGGTTTGAGAAGTGGAATGTGGATTTTATAAAAAGCCGCTAATTTTTTCAGCATGAGTTTACCTGGTGGGTTTTACAATGGAGTGGTTCTTCAGTTCCTCTTGAATTTGATTTGTGGGGTGTCTGTTTTGGATAAGATGAGAAGAGTTATCATCATGGGATTGCATATTGACTGTGCATGCTTGGATCATTCCCTTTCCTAAACGCATGGCTTGTTTTCTTCCATACACTTCATGGCTGCAGTCTCAGTAAAGCTTGCTTCTGTGCTTCTTGGTTTCATGCTAGGTGTGTTACCTCCTGTGAGAGCAGTGAATATCCCTGCTGAGGAATGTGCATGCGTTTGGTGTGGTTTTGTGTGTTTCTTTTTTGTTTTTCATCTTGCATAGGGAGAACCTAAAGAAGTAGTTAAGCCTGTGCCCATTGCCTCTGCTGTTGCACCCAAAGTCACTCCCACGGCGAGTGTGGCTTACAATAAGACACCGAGGCCATTTGGAGCTGTAACCTCTTCCAAAGTCACCTCCATCCCATCACCATCCTCAGCCTTCACCCCGGCCCAGGCAGCTGTCACCCCGGCCCCATTCGCTGTGCCCGGACTGCATGTTAACGCCAAGCCTAACACTGAGCAGCGCTCACCAGTGCTGAGCGCTGCTAAACCTGCAGTTAATGTCCCACGGCAGCCCACCACACACAATGCCGGCCCGAGCGCCTCTGCTGGCGACGGCACCCAGGATGTAGCCGAGGGGCAACGACGAGGATACAGAGAAAACCAGGGGGAGAGTAAACAGCAAAATGGGTAGGTGGGATTTCTTTTTGCTGTGAGGGTCTTTCCTCGCAGGAAAAAAGCTGGGCTTGTTTAAGGGCTAAGACAAACACAGCTTGGAGGAGGAGGAGTTGTTTCGTCCTCAGACGTGAATCTCTGAGGGAAGGACTTGTGTTTTAAAAGGGATGCTTTGAAGGGTCAAAGTGGTGGTTTTTCTCTGGAGTGACATACCAGTTTATAGAGTGTCACAGCTAAATTGGATCAGGACCACAAAATACTTTATATAATGGGTTGTATCACTATGTGTTCTGGACCTTACAACAAGCCCAGTGTTAATTTCAATGTCTGTATCTCATTGTGCATTTTGACTCTTGATACAGTGACTGAAAGCAGCAGGCACACAAAAATGCAAGAGTGGTCTGTCAGTAGGTGCTGTGATGGCCAGGAATGAAATGCTCTGAAAGGACCCAGGAGGACCAATGAAGAGAGGTCCCAGAAGGGAGGCAAAGGGACAGATGTCACATCACTTCTCTGCACACATACACAAGAACATGTGAGAAATTTTTAAGGTGCATTCAAGGAAGCCAGCAGAGTTAGGCAGATTTTTTGTAGCATTATAATATTTCAACTCTAAATATTGCCTTTATCTTAAAAAAGAAATAGAGTTTTAAAATTTGTGTGACTTTCATGTTCAAATAATTATGTTAAAGTGATAGTGGCGACCTAACGTTTAGGGGACTGTAAGGCTGCATAAAAGGCTTACACTGCATAGTGTGTAGCATCTAGACAACTAAACAAGGATTAGGAAATTGAACTGAGCCCAGTAGCAATGCTGTGCACTCAGACGTGCAGTGCCACCCTGTTTCAGCATCATGCTTTTGGCAGGGGCCACCTTGGGCTCTCCCAGAAATTCTTGGGCAGGGCTTGGGAGCTGTAGTGCCTTAGGGACTGGTTCCCGGCAGTTGCTGTGCTGTGGGGAGAAGAGGAGGCTGGGCATGAGTGGTCCCATGCCAGTTGGCCTCTGTGCCCAGCAGCAGGGTCCAGCAGATTGAGTTAAGTAATAAAAAGGGCTGGAGGAAACTGTAGGTTTCTCTTCAATCTTGAGAATGTAAAACCTGGGCATAAAACCTAAAAGCCATCGTTACTGTTTCCTGTCCCTCAAAAGAAAGTGGCTGTAGGAAAAGGCTTAGTCCTTCTCTTGTCTGGTATTCTCTCAGCAGATAAAGTATATAAAGAACCCTACAGAAAGGTAAACATCCAGATCAACTGAAATACAGCATAAATTGCAGTTTCAGTTGAGCGTCTCATGGGAGGGGAAACTTCTTTAGGTACCTATTCCCTTTATATTGTGGTACAAATGTTTTCCATATGTGGACTTGTATAATGCGGTCCATATGCATTTTATATCACACTGTTGCCATGGTAACTTCCAGCCCTTTCTTAAACAGGTGGTGGCAGGAGTCCACACCACTGCATAGAAGTGGGATGAAATTGGGAAAACCCAAGGACTTGCTTGATGCTGATGGACTTGTTGAATTCACTTTGGCAAACCATTTCTTTATCTTTCCAGGAGTGTTGTTTTAGCAACTAACTGTATGAGGAGGATTTAAAAGCAGTAATTAGTACTGAAAAAGAGGAACAATAGCAGTAAAACTAAGTCTCCTGGAGGGAAGTGCTTTAAGTGTGGAGTAAGGACTTGACGGTCAAGATAGAATGACTGGGTGAGTGCTGTTTCATGCCTTACCTTATGAGATGAATAATACCAGCTGAAGAGTATCACAGCTGACAGGTGAAGAAATCCCTATTTTGCTGCTAACCTTCCAGATCTACTTTGAGAAAGCTTGAAAACGTTCAGAACTGTAAAAACCTACTTTATTTTGCCATCTTTCTTGCAATAGTGTATTTGGGCTTGAAAAAACTAAGGCAGAAAACAATAACCCCTAAAGTGATTATATTGGTCTGCCATTACACTACTTATTTTACTTAGAAAAATCGCAGTTCTACAGTGATGCCTATCTCCCTCCCCATTTAAAATGGAATCAGTGACATTTATGAAATATCAGAAACATTGAAGTTTGGAATAGTTGAGCAGTCTGAAATTCCATTTTGCTTCTGTGTTTTATATTATTCATTTTCTCAAAAGAAAAAAAAGGGGGGGGGGGGAGTTTGTATCTTGTTCATAGCTCTGCTGAGCAAATACAGTTCTTCTGACATGCACCTTGTACTCAGAATTTCCCCTCTTCCTTCTGGCTTCCGCCAACCCGTATTCAGGATATAAACTATTTGTCCTCACTTCAGGCCAAGGAAGGAAGTTTTTTTTCCCTTGTTTAGTCCTGGCTTAGAAAGAAAGCAGTTTGCCTTCATTAGGGTGTATACAGTTATACTTTATTTAAGACCTTCTTGCCAACTCTTGCATGAAAAAGTGCCTGCTGCTTAGAACAGGTAAGAGGTTGACAGATTCTACTCAGTTTAAGCTCAGCTGGGCTGATTTTTTTTCCCTTGTAGGTTCTCTTGATGGTTTTAAGTTTGACTTACATGGTATACGGCTTTACCAGATCTTGGACTTGGAAACTCCTGTAATATTTCAAGGAGCAAAGAATGTGTTAACACATCAAATACCTTTTTGTTTTTTTTTTCCCTTGCAGATAACAACAATGATAAAGTTAGTATCGACAGCACTTGAGTTGAATTATGGTCATTTTTCCTGTTGGTATAACCAGCATGTACTGTTGTTTTGAAAAATTATAACTCTTAAATTTCATATTTAAGTTTTGCGCAACAGCTTCAGCTCTTCTTTGTAACAGTGCAGTAAATGATTTTGTCTGCATTGGACATGATGTGATCTTGCTTTTCTCAGTGTGTTAAATTTTGCAGCTTTTGAAAAATTATTTATTTTTATTATTTTTGTGTGGTGTTTGTGTCTGTTGATAATTTCTTGGTGCAGTTACAGCTAATTGGTGTTGGTAATACAACTAGTCAATGGTGAATTACTCTATAAAAACAACTATGGTGTGAGGACTATGGAATGAAGGGATACTGAATTTATACAACAGAAATAAAGTAACATCCATATACATCCGTATGTGATTTGTACATATTAGGGATGATAAAAATGATTGAGGGTTTTATAGGCTTGTCTTTTCTCCCCTTGCCTGAAGGGTGAGTTAAGGCAAAGCCTTTTCTCATTGACTTTTCCTTTGTCTTTGGCACCACCTTGTGGCCTCAATGAGTCACTGTTAGTAGAGTCAAACCTTAAAAAGGGGGACCAGTACGATCCTCTGAGGGTCAGCGGGCTATTTTGTTTATAATAGTACTTTCAAAAAATGTGAAAGACTACTTATTTCACTGTGGCATTTGCTAGAATGCAGTCAACTGCATGTAAATAATTACCTTTCCATGTAGTTCCACACCTTTTAATTACTGCTTTAATGTTCAGATTTTATTTTTGCTATTAAGTGCTTTTAATAATGTTTGATGCTTTACTTCAGTTTTCTCTGTACTTCTTGTACTCCATCCTGGAAATACCACTGTCCTTCTTTCTATACCTCTCTCTCTTTTAGTAACTTTGATATATGCATACTTCACTAATAGTATATGTCAGTAAATTAAATCTTTCAATACAATTTTGTGTGATACCTTTCATAATATAAAGAAATATACTTTTCTTTATATACAAAAGAATAATTCCAGTATTAATTATTCTTTTAAGCTTAAGTATTTACTCATGCATTTCATTGAGTGGGCCTAATACTTACTTTTTGACAATTAATAATTTACATCATTCTCATTAATATTTTCCATCTTTCTTCACCATAAATACTTTGGACATTAAGAGTACAGTGGGGAAGTAGTGGCAAAAATCAAAGCAACTTTTTAAGTTTTGTTGGTTTATTTAAAATTACTATGGCTAAGGAGCTAGTTTTGCACAATTGATCTGTAAATTATGCAGTAGTATATTTACATTTAGAGAGTCTTAAAGATTAATGCTTTGGAATAATGAGTGTAGCATTTAGAAATAATATATATATATAGTATGGATCTTCTGTTCCCTTTTCCTAAATTGATTGGTGCCATTACATGTTCTTTACATTAGTTACAGAAAATAAAGCATTCAAATCCTGTCTTCTTTTAAGTCTGCTGGTGCAGGGACTGGTACTAGCATGTAGGCTGCTGTGGGAAGTTTCCAGATGAAGCATCACCTCACTTTTTTGACTTCCAGAGAGGGTATTGAACATCAGTATCTCCACATTATGCTTCAGAACATCATTCCTACTCTTCTAAATGGCCTGAGCCTCATCCAGTCTTTGCCAAGTGCAAAAAAAATGCACACAGTGAGTGCTTGGCCTTTTGTGAGCCAAGGGGAGAATTTGTCACAGGGCACCTGATCTGAAATAAGTAGACGACCCTGCTTTGCCAAAAGAGATTCTCTAATACCAGTGAGGAAATTGATGCAAGTTTAAGTACGGGGATTCTGTGCTGGAGTTTTGGTAGTAGAATGAGAATATATCCATTGGATTTCAGTGCCCTTTCCCACAAAACTAATTCAATAGAATAATTAGCTGCACTTCTGTTTCAAGTTTCTGACTTTATTTCTTGTTATTTTTTTTTTCTCCTCCTTTTCCTGTTTATGCTGGGAAAACTTTCTCTTGCTGTCTTACTCTATCATCTCCAAGGAAAACTCCACCTAAACGGTAAACATCTAAACATGTACATGTCTTGATAGTAAAAACTACTTTTACTGTTTCAAATGTTCTGGCAGTGAAACAAGGGAAAATATTTCAGTTCAGTAAGAGTAATTACAAAGCTGTGTTTGATTCAGGGAACTGAATCTATGTTCAGGTGTGCCTGTAAAGCTCACTGCGGCACATCTGCATCCAAGCATAGAAGCTGCCTTTTAATGCTGTGAGAAGTCACAGTTCTGCCTGTGTCTTCATAGCTACACCAACCCAGGTGGTCTCTGGAGCTCTTCACTCACTGCTCTCTCCTCTCCTTGCCACAGGCCCCCACGGAAGCACATTATGGATACTTACACAGAGTTTTACCACACACCCACCCACAGCGATGCCAGCAAGAAGCGACTGATTGAAGACACCGAAGACTGGCATCCCCGGACAGGCACCACCCAGTCCCGCTCTTTCCGCATCCTTGCCCAAATCACCGGCACTGATCATAGTGAGTAGTTTGGTGTAAGCCAAGTAAAAATAATGGCCTTGGACAGATAGATGTTTTTAATAGCTGGGGGTGGGAATTAGTAAAAGGATTCAGTCACATTTCTATCATTTTTCCTCTTTCATAATAAATTCAGTAGGCAGAATTTTGGTTGTTTCTTTCCCTCCTGTCCTGTTCATATTTAATACTCCAGAAAAGTTAAGGTGTTTTCAGGCACATAGAAAATATTTGACAATCATACCAAAGGTGTGTGATCTGCAATCAGAAGCATAAACCCACAGTTCCTTAGTTTATTCCCAGGTTATGTTTTCATCCTCTGCTAATGCTGTAGTTTGATTAGATATACTGTCGACTGGAACAAGTGATTCATTTCCAGTCATATAATTTTATGATAAAACTTCAATTTCATATTATGCTGTCAGTTACAATTCATTGGCTAAGATCTGTAATGTTGTGTAAAAGCCATCAGAAGTACCATCAGGAGACCTGAGCTCAGTCATGTTCAGATTGAAGCAGTTCATGTAGAGGTGATTATTTCATTCTGCTTTTCACAGCTAGTGCTACAATAAAAGAGGCAGTGAGGAAATTGGAACCCTTCCCTGGGGGCAGGTTTGATTAAATAGACTACTGATTCTCTGGCAGAATTATTCTAGAAGCCAATGATAACGTCTTCCCAAGCAAAGATTATTATTCATCTGTGATAAATATTCTGAACTTGGACAGTTACCTTGGTGGGTCACAGCCTGGCTGCAAACAGACGTTTGGATTATCACCTGTTATAAATGCACTGGCTGTTTGTCCAACAGAAGTGCCTCCCAGCTTCCATTCCTCTTCCCCTTTTTAACGTGCCTTTCTCACTGCCAACATGGAGAATGGGCCAAAAGAAAGGGCAGAGACCAGCAGAGCCACCTTTCGGCAGTACTGCTGGCAAAGGGGCTTCCCCCACATAGCTCATTTCCATTGGGGTGTAGTTAGAATCTAGGAGTCCTAACAAACCTTGTTGTGATTTCCTGTTGTGAATGCATTGGCACAGGGGAGGATCACAGTGTACGGTGGTACAGTGCCGTTAGTGCCTTAGAAAGTAAAACCTTTCTGCTTTCTCGCAGTGAAGGAACCAGAACATGAAGCTTCGAAGAAGACTAAGTGAGTTGATGTTTTACATTTTTACTACTTTAATACTTTGCACGTCTTGATTCTTAACTGATAGTGTTTGGTGCATTTGTGTGACATCTGGTGTTTTGAAAGTATTGCTGCTTTTTTTGCCTTCTACTTCAGCATGTAAAAATCAAGAGTTTTTTTCTGCATAGACAGACCTTTTAAAATCTGTTGCTGCAGTCCAGTAGTAGTGTTTGTGCAGGAGTTTGAGATTTTCCATAAGCGCGGACTGATTTGGTTTTCTGTACAAGGTCAGCTTGTCAATTGTGTTTTCCTTTTCCTAAATCTAACCAGGCATTTTTGATTTGCCGGTGTGGATCAAATTGCAAGGCATAGCTGGAAAGTATTACCCTTCTGGAGTGCAAATAAGGGTCAGCTGTCTCTTTGCTTTGGGATAAGTGTTGTTCAAAATGAGGACCAACCAGTGGCTAAATCTAGTCCGTGGGAGATTTTGTGCTGACTTTGTTTAACACTAGATCCAGATTTGCTGATGACACTAAGCTGGGAGGAGTGGCCGACACGCCAGAAGGCTGTGCTGCCATTCAGCGAGACCTGGACAGGCTGGAGAGTTGGGCGGGGAATAACTTGATGAAATATAACAAGGGAAAGTGTAGAGTCCTGCATCTGGGCAGGAACAACCCCAGGTTCCAGTATAGATTGGGGAACGACCTGTTAGAGAGCAGTGTAGGGGAGAGGGACCTGGGGGTCCTGGTGGACGACAGGATGGATGACCATGAGCCGACACTGTGCCCTTGTGGCCAAGAAGGCCAATGGCATCCTGGGGTGTATTAGAAGGGGGGTGGTTAGTAGGTCGAGAGAGGTCCTCCTTCCCCTCTACTCTGCCCTGGTGAGACCCCATCTGGAATATTGTGTCCAGTTCTGGGCCCCTCAGTTTAAGAAGGACAGGGACCTGCTGGAGAGAGTCCAGCGCAGGGCAACTAAGATGATTAAGGGAGTGGAGCATCTCCCTTATGAGGAAAGACTGAGGGAGCTGGGTCTCTATAGTTTGGAGAAGAGGAGATTGAGGGGTGACCTTATTAGTGTATATAAATATATAAAGGGGGAGTGTCACGAGGATGGAGCCAGTCTCTTCTCAGTGACAAACAATGATAGGACAAGGGGAAATGGGTACAAACTGGAACACAAGAGGTTCCACTTAAACTTGAGAAGAAACTTCTTCTCAGTGAGGGTGACGGAACACTGGAACAGGCTGCCCAGGGAGGTTGTGGAATCTCCTTCTTTGGAGACATTCAAAACCCGCCTGGACACGTTCCTGTGTAACCTTATCTAGGTGTTCCTGCTCCGGCAGGGGGATTGGACTAGATGATCTTTTGAGGTCCCTTCCAATCTCTAACATACTGTGATACTGTGAAGGCAATGTGCAGATAGGATTAGTGCATGGAGATTGCATGCTCGCTTGTGAAACTGCTAAAGGTAATCTTTCTTCCTTTCTTATTTTTCTTCTATCACTTCTTTCCACAGGGAAAAGGTTCCCATCCACGTCTTTAGTCCCAAATATACAAAATTACGTGACTGGCACCATGAAGTCTCAGCACGTGTTCTTAATGTCCAGTGATTTTACCCAAGTTGCAAAAGCATAACACAAATACTTCCTTCTTTCCTTCTTTTCCACCTGCTTTGCAAAAAAGGGGAAAAAAAAGAAAAAGAAATCTTATTTCATTAGCCTTACTGCAAGAGAAATTCTGTCCTTTTCTATACTTTTCTAACACTTTCCTACTGATGTATAAAAAATGAGATTAAAATGTTCTTGTGATAATCAATAGTTGACAAAAAAAATCCTCATTTTAAATGGAACAACTTGGGTGCCTCAGTCTCCCAACGTGGGGGATTAGGTGGCTGTTGCAGTTCTTTTGTTGCCTCGAAGGAGTCATTTGCATTGCTGAGTTTGAGTTACTGTAGGTTGTTAGGAAGAAAGTTATGAACAGAAGAATAAGAAATGGTATTACTTTGATTTTGGGTCTGGGGGAAGAAGATGAAGAAAGACTGTATGCACTTATTTCAGACTGCCAGGATAATTATCTTGGATTTCACTAGACATTTAGCTGGTCAATTTTGGAGTGGTTGTAAATGTTTTACCAAGTACAACAAGAAGATGGGCTGCTTTTAAGCAAATAAATAAATAAATCCACTGTTGCAAATCGAAGTGCAAGCTCAATATAAAGATTCTGCTGCTTAGACTAGTAATATGTTCATATTGTGGAAAGCTTAGAAAAAAAAATAAGCAGAATGTTGCTGTGTACCTGTAAAAGCTTCAAAACATCCTCTAACAAGAACAAGATGGTAGTATTTATTTATTACAGTGTGAAGCTCATAGGCTTTTTTTTGTTTATAAAAGCTTCATGGCCCTATGGTTCTCCTGTAAAATAATGTATTATAGTAGCTACACATTCATTAATTTATGCTTTTTGAAGCTTGAAGAGTATTTTAATAAAAGTTGCTTTTATCTTAGCTCTGTCTGTTTTTCTTTTGAGTCTCTCTGACTCCTTGAATATTCCTCTCATGCATGGAGCTGTAATTTCATTGCACTTTCATAGATTGTATTAAGAGAAATAGTTAAATCCCTGCTGCATAGTAAAAACAACCTGCACTGAAAAAAAATATAAATCACAGTAGTAGAATGGGGTTTGTGTGTTGTCAAAATCGCCACAACATTTGTAGATACCAGTCAAATGAAGGACCTTTGGATGGTTACAGGAGCAAGAAATTTACAAAGTAAAACTCAGTCTTTTGCAGCACTTACTGAATCAGAGAAGTTTCAAAGCTCCAAAGTCAATTGTAAAGCACAGATAAAAGCTGAGTCTTTCCTAACTGCTTAATAAGAACCACTACAATGGCTCGTAGTTTGTGCAGCTGACCTACACTCTTTTCTGATGTGCAGCTGACCTACACATTTGGTCCTGTGAACAAATTGATGTCCACTGCAAATGCTTCTGCAGATTTGGTGGGGTAAACACTTTTATTGCACAACAGTGAAATAGGAAACCCTTGGAAGCATTTTAAGCTTGTGTATCCTTTTCAGATGGTTTATACTGCTATACAGTACAGTAGTAGTTATCATATTTGTCATTTTATCTTTAGGAAAAGCCAAACAGAAAATGGAGACTTCAGGTAATAGCCAAGTTATCTAACACTAATTGTCACTGATCTGGATGCATAACACTGCACAGCATAAAGTACAATTAGATTTGCACTGGTAATGATGGACCAATTCATATCACATTTTGCACACCTTTTGGGTTAACTAATTAGGGACAGTAGGGGAAAATATTAATGTCAATGATTTCACTAAAGACTGTTTTAATGAGAAGTGCCAATTATTTATCCCCCCCCGCTTGTTAGTGAGAACTGTTACTAAACACAAGTGTATTTCTGAGCGCACGTATGCCACAATATAATAATTTTATAGCACACTGCTTATTAAAGTAGGAATGTGAAGTACTGTTTTAAAATAGTTTTGCTGGTTTAAAAAAAGTGTTTATGAATAGAACAAAAGCTGGGAGTTTTAGAGGACATCAGTGCAATGAAAGCTATGCAAGATTATTGCCTAGGTTCTCCCTAGTGTTTTCTTCATAAGGGTAGATTGATTTGGCCTTCCAGTATTTTTGTGTTTTGGAGATGTCCCCAGGTTATGAGAAACATCTTCACATTATCATTTAACTTACCATTATGTCTGTCTGTCTTGCCAGCTCTTACCCTTTGAAAGGTGAATTGCTTTACTGAGAAATAGAACAAATCTGAAGTATAGAAGCCTCTGTTTTGTTCAAATTTAAAAATAGCTAGCCATAGAGCCTAGCTGTTGAGGATATGAATAGTGTGAGAAAGGTGGGAATATCATTTGTTGCCTATAAATTCATATCAAGAACTCATTAGTTCAAAAACTGTTTTATGAACATATGAAATGAATTCAATTTAGTGCTTTAAAGATGATCCCTTTTTCTAATATATCAATTGCAGAACACTTGTTGATGTTAAAATTTGGACTTCATTACTGTTTCCAAAACAATGGAATGCTTGTCCATTTGCATGTGGATAACATGCCCTTGCTCATGTCCAATTCCCAGCGTAGATCTCATCTTTGAAAAAAATGTTCTGAGAGGTTTTAATATAAATGAATAATCTTAAATTTAAGAGATTACTTAGAAGGATGAATGTGACGAGCAATGACATAGATACTTCTCTTCCATCAGTAATCTAGAGATGAATACCCTAATTTAATAATTCAGCTTTTTGTGTGGATAAAGCAGATTTTTCTTTATAAGAGCTGGAAGGACAGGAAATAGGAATAGAAAGTCCTCACTGAAATGTGTAAATTACAACTCTTTAAACCAGTTACTTACAGCTTAGAAAGGCAAAGTCTAGCCTTTGTGTAAAGTTTATTTATGTGCTTGAATAACTGATTAGTTCTAAAACATACTTGGAAATAGGGTGGCACAGAATTAGATGTTCACTTTTATTCATTCCCTTTTGAGCAACTTGGTACAGATTTGGGTTTGGCCTTGAACTGTAGAGTCAGTTCATTGTCCTGAGTGAAGATGTGTCTGGATTTTCCAGATTTGTAGTTTACTTAATCCATAGCCAGTGGAAAATACTTGTCCCACTCTTGTTCAGTCCTGAAACAACCTGTCTTAAAGCATGTATTTTTCTTTTTTTCTCCCCATGACATAAATATCTCTAAAGCATACCTGCAGATCTGCCTAATGGAGCAGGAGTCCAGGATACTTGTATTAATCTGAATAAAAACTCAGATTTACCTTTACTGCCTATGAGGTCTGTTCTCTGGTCATTCCTAAGTCCGTTCAATGATTTTCACCACTTAAGTTTCCATATGTCATTAAGATACTTAATTCTGCATTCTTTTATATGCACATACATGCACATACATGGCAGCAACACCTATTCCTGTGGCTAATCTAGTCTGCTCAAAACTTGTGGTTGTGATTGCTCTCTATCTCGTAGTTTGCTTCTATTTTTCTGTATCACAGTGAGATGTGCTTTTCTTCGATTAGAAGGCTTTAAGACAGTATTTTCTATATCTGTTTTTTTTCTACCACAATTGAAAGGAATGATATGAAAAAATAAATATATAGTCTAACCTCCACAAAGCTAACACCCTAAAAAAGTTGCAGCAAAAAGCGTAACTTGGGGAGTGAATTCCACTAGCAATTTGGTGTTTCTTTTCCATTATTTCCTAGAAGTTTTCCATCATGTAGCCTAATACTAAATATATATATATTCCATATTTTTAAAGGCAAATATTATTTGGCCTTCTAAGTTTATAAGCAGCAGGACACTTCTTAACCTTCATTAAAAGTGTGACACTTCCTAAGTGTACTGTGCATCATTTTATCCCCCATTTGTGTATTGCTACAAAATCCACTTTTTTCTTAAAAAAAATAATAATAAATTACTAACACTTACATGCAGAGTCCCTCCTGTTCAGCACGGTATTTCAATGTAGAGTAAAAATCTCTTTTCCATGTGTCTCTGTTTTGGTTTTATTGTTGTGAATGGAGTGAAAATGGTGCTAGACCAGAACCTGCAGCCACACTTTTGCCACTGGCAGAGTCCTTCTCTGGCAATGTTTGCTCTTCCAGGCTTTCAGAAAACATTGCTGCAGCAACTCCTGGGAGGTAAATCATTCAGATTCGGTTAATGATCTACCTATGTGTTGCTTTAGACTAAATTCGTCTGTTTTAGGGCAGGGAGGGTCTGTCATTCCCTTAAAATAAACTTTGTTAATCTACTGTGATTAGGGATTTTCCTGGAAGTGGTAGGAGGGGGAAGGAGAAGAGAAATGAAATGAAGCTGAGCAGATTTATGAACAGTCATGTGGGTACCAGTATAAATAAGACACTATATGTAGTGTGTGTTGCTGCATTGTCAGTGGGTGTCCACTCGGTCACCTGGATGGAGTAACTTTTCAATGATCTCAACAACTCAAAAGTGAATTCAGTTCTCTTCAAAACACAGAAAAATGCTTTTAAAACTATAAAAATATTTTTTTAGGTAGATAATTTTGTTCATAACACTATGCTGTGTGCCATGATGCAATCAGAAAAAAATCAGATGGTTATTTGGCAAATTCTGTCATTGGCCTAGCTTCACCAACACTTATCTTGGCAGATTGATGGTGGTTTGGAGGTCATTTGTGGGTACTAGACAGTGACAATTTTTTACATGAGAGAAACAGTAATTTGGAGGGGTTTGATGCCATTATTAAAGGTCAGGAATATTTTCCGATGGTTTGTGTTTCATAGTGCAGGGGAGTTTTTTGAATTCCAGGTAGCTAGAGTTCATTGCACATGCACAAGGACAAAGTTGTTAAAGTACAAAACAAAGCTGCTGCTCTGAAAATGAGAATTGAATGAACAATGCCTGGTCCTGCTAGGCCCCTAGACAGAAGTATTTATACAGATAGTCAAAAAAGTAGATGATGGTATTTTCTACTCAAGAACAGCAGAAATCAGAGGAGCTTACGCAGAGCTGTAGAAGGAAGCATTATCATTGAGTGTGGGAAGGAGAACATAAGTTATTTAGCAAAGCTATGTAGTCTTGCTACTCTCCTGAAATTAGAGGTATCAGCATAGCAACCATATTTGACGTTTATGTTTTGTTACTGAGGCCATGTCACTGCATTTACAACATGTTTTCGTATGGGCAATGCACCCAGAGCTGATCTCCAAAGCCCTTCATTTTTGTTGCTTTTCTTTTGTTTTATTTTTATAAAATAGCAGCTATGGAGCAATTGGTGTGTGCCATGTTAGACCTTTGGTAAAGCACAATTACCCATCCAAAGGTCAGTAGACTTGCTTTTGCTGCTAAAGCCCCACATTTGTTATCAATGACTGGCATGGGTCTTATTTTCCTACTGGGCTCCATCTCATTTTGGCTGAAGCTCTGATTTGTACCACCCAGTACTGAACCACCAAGAAAGAAACGAACTTGCTGTGAAATGTATGAAGGATCTGGATTTGATTACTAGTTTAAAGTTAGATTTATTACTTACAAGATAGACTTCATAATATAAAGTATAATGCTTTTTTATTGTAGTTTTAGTTCTTTAATGAAAACCTAAGCTAGTCATAAGGCAGTACAGCCATCTACTGTAGTTTATAGTGTATTAGTACTCAATTTCATATATGCAATGTCCTCTTATTAGTTTAACAGTAAAATATTTAAAAGCAATTGCAGCGTTTCCACAAAGTTGCAAAAAGTCATCTTAAAAAGTCATCCTGGCAAATTTAGATCATATAAACCACAGAATCTGGCACTTCCTGAGATATACATAACTAATATAAGGCAGCTCCAGTGCCAGCTAGTCTTTACATTGCTCTTTTATATACACACTTTTTACAGTCATACAGACCTACTTTTTTTCTTTTAATGGAATTATTCATGATAGTCATAAATAAAAAGACTTAGTATTAAGTAGTAAGTATTAATCCTGATTTTGGTTGTGTATTTTCTGATTAGTGGACAGCCAAGAATATTCTCTGCAGAAATCATAACTTCCAAGAGTAATTTCTTACTCCTAACTACTGCCAAAGCAAGATTAAAATGAAAATACAATGAGTATGTATGTATGAATAAGATCTGGAGTCAGCTTCCTCTCGCTTTGGAGCATATTCCCAGTGTGATTTATTCCCCTTCTTGCCTTTGTCAGGGCCCTTTTTTGTAACTTACAAAGCTTCACAAAGATGCTGTGTAAAGTTTTGGAGAACTTGAGGGCGACTCCAGGAAATACAATCTGTGTATACCCCTGTTTTGTCATGAATTGTTATAACTGCTGCTGTATTCTCCTCAATTCATCCAGATCCCCTTTTTGGCAGGATTGGCATTTCTACATTGATTTTAAACAACTTCCCTTGACTGCAAAAGGGAATTTGCAAAACCAGGAGCTGCTCATTTAATTGGTCAGTGAGCGTCAGGTTGGGTCTCAGACTGACCAGACTAAAACTGTCAGATCTTTTATGGCTGTCTTCGTTTGGTGATAAGCAAGAGGAAGTAAAATATGGGGGGAGAATACTGCTTTCCTGGGGTGAATGCTGTTTGTCCTTCTGCTTGCTTTTACTTTACTAAACTTTTGTTTGAGAACACTTTGGAAGCCTTAGCCAAATGAGTATTTAACTCCCCTGCAATTGTTCAGGTTAAATACCAGCAGCCAAGTGGCCACAGTGTCTAAGGTGTAATCTACTTATACTAGGTAGAGTTTCTATTACACTATTATCTGTTTTTTTTGAGTAACTACTTTAGCCAAATAGTTTGGTTTTGTGGTTAAACAAGCCTGGTTCTAAGCTTTCAAGCTTCAGCTGTAAAAATGCCTCAAAGAACCAGTTTCAGCATGGTCTGATTCCTAGGGGATGAGTATTTGTTTCCTGTGGAATTAAAAACAGCCTTGACAGATTACTCACTCTTCTTACAGAAGATGCAAGAACGCTGACTACAAAGGATTGTCCATTACTGATAGGTATCTTTATCAAACGAGGGATTTCTTCTCCATGTGTTGTCTTGTTATAATTACTGTGAAATTAACCTCAACTAGGGAAATAACTGTGGATTTGCCTACTCTGGAGGCAGCAAGCTTTTTGATGCCTGACAAAGCACCTCTCCCTGCAAAGTGCACCGTGGCCACACAGACTGCCGAGCTCCCAGTACCTACAACCGTGGCTGTGGGACTGCCTCTTGCAGACCCAACTATGGAAACAGCCCTTGAGCTGCCTTCTGCTATAGCCAGGTACATCCGAGCCTGCTCTGTTAAAAGGCATGATGAGAAACTAATTTTACATATGGTTTTACTTGATTTTTTTTGATGCTGCTGCTGTCAAGATGGAGCAGCTTGCAGGTGTCTCCTGACCCTCATGTGGCTCTTGAAACCTGAACAGCATTTAGAAATTAAAGGAGGTTTTAGCCAAAATGTAAAAAAAATACTTAAAAAAAGTAAAAATGGCCATTAGATGGAGGTGGATAAACCAGTAATGGGTAGATTTGGTTCAAAGGGAACATTGTAGTCAGAAGTTGGTGACATAGGCTGAATATATAGTGTCAAAATGGGGGGAAGGCACATCAGAATGTGCATAATATGTGATGCTTTGGTATTCCACATTTTATTCTTTCAGCTGTCAGAGGTTAGTCACCCATGCCATAAAATGTATATTTTTGGATTTCCCACTAGCCTTAAGTTTTTGGAGAATACAAGCATTAACTTGTGTAATGATGGGACATCCAGAGTATAGTGTTTACCAATAGGTAAAGAAAGCACTTCAGTAATTAACACTTTGGGATATTAAACCATACCTGGGTTGTTTTTTGTTGTTGTTGTTGTTGTTGTTGTTGTTGTTTTGGTTTCGTTTTTATGGGTAAAGAGGGCTTTTGAAAGTCCTTAAATGATCTCCTCCTGAGCTTTAGTTAGCAGTGCCAAAGCTATAATGAGGGCTTGATTAATGACTTTTCTTCTCTTGCTGCTTTTGGGCAGGCATGAAGCATCTCTGCTTACTTGTGAAACAAATTCTTTCAGTAAAATTTCAAGCTACCAGTCTAAATCTTCTGTAAATCATACAAGGTAAATCTTTTAAGGTATATCTACAGCAGACCACTAGGTGTGGCCAAGGTTTTCCGTCAGCATTTTTGCATTTAAATATGAGAAGTAGTATATAGTTGTGTGTTTTGTTGATTTCTGAAATGATTAAAAAATACACACAGCAATTCTATGGATAATATTGACATTAAAATATCAATATTAATGTCAATATATTGTCAATATATCAATATTAATGTCAATATAATGTCAATATTGACATTTTAATATTGACATTTTAGAGTAATTTACCACTGTAAAAATTACTTTGGATCCAGTCTGGTTTTCCATTTTTGTGTACTTTTTCCCCTGTTCATACTCCTTCCAACTTAGATAATAAGTAGGGAAAATTAAAAGGGGGTGAGGAGTACACTGAATTTGTACAGGTGGCTAAAAACAGACCTGATGAAGTTGTATTATCAAATATTCCAAAGCTTTCAATGTTTATTATGAAAAAGAGAATATCAATGACTTTCAGGGGTCTTTCTGTCAGCATTATGGAGACTCGGATCCACATGGAATGTCCTGAGTCCTGGTTCAGTGGGAATGACGTAGGGGTGTGAGACAGAGTCTGAAATTGGGAATTTGAATACTGATACATGTTGAATGCTGACTTGGTGAGGGGAAAGTTTTGTTTGTGGGTGAAATCAGAATTGCTTTTTCCACATTAGTATTCAAGTAGTTAATATATTGCCTGATGTGTCTGTGGGCTGGGAACCTACATTCTCGTAACTTTCCAACCGTTAATATGGTCTGGAATTGTGCCTCTGTCAATCTTTCCTGCTTTTTCTGTTTTCTCCTCTGTTGGCTCAAAGCTTCTGTGCTGAAAAAGTACTGCTGGAAAATCCTTTGGGAAGTCTGTCCAAGTTGGGACCTACTCCTCTTCCCGTTCTTTCTCCTTTCAAGCAGAGATCAACAGTTAAGAGTATGGCTGCTGCTGCCGTGTCTGCTGCCATTGCTGTCCGGGCCAGGTAGACATCAGTTCTAAAAGGAACATTTTATAGCTTGGTTTAAGAAAGTTCAAATTCACACAAGAATAATGGGTCCCTCACAGGGCTGCGAAATCAACTTTTTTCAATAGCATGGTGGGCAAGCTGTTGGAGTATGTCCAAGGCTCCCATGCCATTTTTTTAGCTTAGTTCCACACTGTTGCTCTGAACCTGGGTGAGTAATTCTACCTTTCTGATCTTCATGATTTCTGTTTCACGGTTCAGTCAGTAAACTAACTGTAAATAACAATTGTGTTACATGAGTGACAGAGAATAATTACATCTTTGAGTAACTTTTAGATGCTCTCTGAGTTCCATCTAAGTTTTTACTGCACTGGTTATTATGAAGGCTTACTTAAACCAGTGGTTTCAAGTTCTTCTCTCATGCATTCATATCTGTAAAAATTTTTTGAGCATGTAATATATGTATGTTTATGTATTTCTAAATTATATAAATGTTCTAATGTACTGATACATATACTGATATCATAAAGCATACACATACTCATAAATCAATATAGGATGAGAAAGAGATGAAGTAAATGCTATTTTCAAAATCTTTTCTATTTTACTTCATTAATGGTAAAAATAAAATAAGAAAACCTTCTCACACACCCATGAGTTGTCTTGTGCATCCTCTGTAGCATGTAACCGCCACTTTGGGGACTGTTTATTTAGACATAACTTCCGTATGAGTTATCCTAGGTTCAGTGTCTCCATACTGCTACATAATTTACAGGCTTTTCATGAGGGTTTAAGAGTTTTCAGTGGTCCCAGCCAACTTGAACCTTTGTTTGATCACCTACTTTGTTTACATGGTCTTTCTAAATGCTTGCTAGACTCTCCGAACCTAGTGTCTACCGCTCACTCTTGGATGCCCTGCTCATCACGCCTGTCGCTAAGCCTCCTTTGCAGGCCATGAGGCCCTCCAGGAAGTCCATGAGTGCTCTGGAGTTGCCAAAGAGCAACAGGTATTATCTGAGTGCGGTGCATGGTTGGCACTTAGGACACGCAGGAAATTGGCTTCTACTTCAAAGCCTTTTTCTGTTGCCTGCACACTTGTAGCAGTCTGCCTGTTGTGGTCTTTGGCATGAGGTCACCAACCCCAAATCCTACTCGTTTCACCACTTTGCAGAACTAATCTGCACCCCGGTCCTGCTGATGGAGTTTGCGTAAGTCCACTGTACTAAGCAAAGACTTCCTTCCTGATATTGGGGGCATGCACTGAGATGCATGGTGCTCTTCGTGTTGCACCACAAACCTCTGAGGGAGGCACTGTCACTCTGAAGAGCTGAAACAAGATATTCTGGCTTGAAACCTCTATCCAAGTGAACTATTTGCAACAGTTCCTTGAGCAAGTAAGTGACACAGTAGGCTGCAACAGTGCTCCAGGAACAAAGGGCTGCTATTTTTCAAAGCTTACTTTTAATGTATAAAATAACTGGCATGTGGTGCAGCAAATAACTATTGAAAATATATTTGCTGTCCAGGCCCTTTGTTTCAGTGCTGATTCTGTCCAGTGCACAGGACTTTCTGTTCTTGTTTCCTGATCGCAGCTGTGTTAACACTCACCTCTGTGGAAAGGTGCTTTTATGTAACTGACTTCAGCCTCAAAGTTGGAAATCTATTTCTTGAGTTGTTTGTTGTTTTTTTTTTTTTTTACAGGAAAGTACCTATTAAGTTGTGTTAAGGAAGAAATAACTGTGGGGTTTCATGCACCTATCTGTATTTTAACAAGAGTAAAACTCTTCTAGAGATAAGGCCCAATTCGAAGTAGAGCTGAGATACACTTGATGTAGGAACTTGTATTGAGTAAGATGTATTTATTATTTCCATCTTGTTTCATGGCTTCTAAGGTGACCTCAGTCACTAGAAAAGGCTAAAGTACCCCTAGCCTCAGGGAGCAAAAAATGGTACTTACTAGTCACAAACAGACAAACTTACATTTTATTGACGTTTCTAACATTGTGGCATATCCACTTTCAAAAGAAAAAACTATTAACACAATTATACTGCTGTAACACAACCTTAAATCTTAATTTACTTTTTGCTGCTAAATGATACTTACTAGGAAGTCTTTTTATGTATGTGTCCAAAGGGAAAACCTCTCCAGGAGTTCTGATACTTGTGCGCTATGGATGAAGTCCAGGATGTGCTGCCAGACTTTACTGTTTAGCTCTGGTGTTTGTTTGCTGATGTTTTAGTAGAGCAAATAATTGTGGTGAAAATGAATTTCCTGACTTCCCTTTTCTTTTTTTCCTTCACTCACTAATATGCATCGTTTCTGGCATAAATGAAGGTAGATTGGTACAAGAATGGGAACCTTTTCCTTCTTTACTCTGAAATTGACTTTATGTTTGCCATTGTCTGCTCATCATACAAAGAGAAACCCTCCTGGTTTTGAAGTTTTATTTTTTGGAGATGCAAGCACTTATTTCTGCCAGAAAGTTGAGATTCCTAAACTAACTGCATTCAGTTGCTGTTCCTTGGTACATGGGACTGTCTGTTGGGAAAGGCAGCAAACAATGGAGAACTTCTTTCATCCTGCCATAGTTAAATTGCAGCCTTGGAGGTTTTTCTTTGTTTCGCTCTTACGACTGGCAGAGCTGCATAGAAATGTGCTGGGAGCCAAGGGGTATACAAGGGAGTACAGAAGCCATGTAACCCTGCCCAAATCACCTTATCAGTATTGGATGTATCAAGATCCAGGTTGAACGGCTTGAAATAAACATCTGTAGATAACTAGAGGGAGGGTTAGATGTTACTTCTAAACTTACTAATTTTCTCTTAAACCATTTCAATAGCCAGGTTATTCTGGTTCAGGTTGCTGCATGCAGGCTGTGGAATAAAGCAGTACAGGAAGTATATGATTTTCAGGCTGTTAGGCACTTCCCAAATAGGATATGGCCTGAAATTTGGTAAGTGTGATGTAGCAGTACCATTAGTCTGAGCATGTTATACATAAACTGTATTTTGAAGGATTTTTCCCTGAATGACTGCTGTTGGTCTGAAGTGATCGTCCAATATACCAGGGTAATGATTTCTGTTTTCCTTATTATCATTCTGAGCCAGTTGCCAGTTGATGGAACTGTAGAAATGAAGCTTTGTGCTGCCTAGTGAATAAGGGAGCACAACCTTTATTGTGTAGCTTGAGAAACATATAGGGAAAGGAGACAAAAGAAGATAATTTATGCTTACAATTTACTGTCAGTAAGTAAGTACAGTAAGTTCAACAAAGATCAAGGAAAATTAATCAATTCTGCTAGAAAAAAAGAAGACAAATATAACAGATTTGAAAGAAATGTAGCCAATGAGTGTGTGAAACTAGGTATTAAAATGTCTTTGCACTAGTGTGCATCTAGTGACATTGTAATATGTACATGAATGTAATGCTAAAAAAATGTTTTAAATGGCAGCTTACTTCATCCCACAACACAGTAGTTGATAAGAAAGAACTGAAATCTTATGTCCTGTAAGTACAGAAACGAGTATACAACATTGCGTAGTAGAATAACTTGTTCAAAAAACAATTGGCTCAACAATGTAAGGCAAGTAAATTACCTTAAACAACTTTGGGGTTTGTGTTCTGGATCTATCTTGTATAACTTTCATGAAAAAAGTAATGGGTCTATTTTACCAAGGTAGCTTAAGTTTGTTTGCATTATCTCTGGGGAATATCTCAAGAAAGTTGTAGCTACAGCAAAAGCAGGGTTTTGATTTTGTTCTGCAGCGGGGTTGTTACTCCAGAAATATCTCCCTTTTATTCTTCTCTCTTCACTGTGTCTGTTCCAGAAAGCTGGCTGTCTTAAACTGCTCTGCACTGGTTAGCTGCCAGAGAACTTAACCTTTTTTTCTGGCTTAATATCTGTTATTAACTGGTCTGAAGTATGCTGAACATCCACACATTTTCACTGCCTACCAAACTCCTCAGAAATGGTCTTCTTTTCTTGGTACAGAATCAACTGGGTTGGAAGAGACCTTTAAGATCATCAAGTCCAACCGTTACTCAAGCACTGCCGAGTCCACTACTAAACCATGTCATTAACAGTCTCGCCTACACGGCTTTTGAATACTTCCAGGGACAGTGATGTGTATCTTGCTTCTCTCCACAGCTCAAGGAAATGTGTAGCTTTGTCATATAACAGCCATGCAGTCTTTTACTAAGCTTTCATCCTGATGTCAACGGAACTAGCCTTATGTTTATAGAGGTCCATGTTTTATAACAGCATATATGCAGCAGAGAGAATAATGTATTTAATATCCAAGAATTGGAGTCTGCCATAAAATCAAATCACATGGCAAAAATGCTATACAATTTTGGGAGATGCTAGCGAGAATGGGCCTTGACATGGCTTTTGCTTTATCTTCTTGGCACTGTGCCATATACAATTACTTGAAAAGAGGATGGTCTGGCCCTGTGAGATAAACAGTGGTGTTGACTCCGGGAGAATTCTTGTTCTGAAAGATGGTCTGAATTGTTTCTATGTAGAGCACTGCTTACGGAAGGGTTACATATTCCCTTACTGTAACTTGATATGGAAATACCTCCACCCAGAGGACTTTCTCTCCCCTTTATTATTTTATTTTGAATTTTTGTCTTTCTTGGAAGTTGTTGGAACACTGCTAGGTTAACCCAAAACGTAAGCACCATTTTAGAAAGCTGACTGAGACCATGGGTTTGCACTAAGGGTGGGAACAAGCTCAGCACTCCGTATTTTCTGTCTTCTGTTTCTCTGTTATTACATCAGAACACCATTGCATAAAAGACATATGTATTTGCCCTGTTCGTGGGGTTTTTGTTCTTCTGGCCTCCTGTACCTGTCTTCAGCTAATGTTTGTTTTGATACTGGACAAAATACATCGTGTGATGTGTATGACTTAACACATCTTAAACCAAGAAATTTTGATCAAGTTTATCTCAGCTGTGCTAATACCTTGCTGTAAAGCTCCATAGAATCATCTGCTTGACAGTTTACTTGGTCTTAGGGCAGACAGATCATTCTTTGAAGTTGCAGTTTCTTTAATACAAATGTTTCAAAAAATTCATATTGAAAAATTCTCTTTCTCCCCTCCTCTTCCCCTCCTTCAGTGCTATATGAAGTACTGTGAATATGTTAGAAGCTGTTTATTCAGGTTTTAGCAGCGTGCTCTATGCCTGTGTGGAGTTAACAGGCAACAGGCAGCAAGGAAGACAAGGGAAGTCTTACTTTTTTTTGTCACACTGTTTTGGTTTTAGAAGCCATAAAGCAGAATCAAGGCTACCACATTCCACTTGGTTGTGCCAGAAACCAAGAAGAGTGATTTGTTCACATCTTTTTTTTTTGTCATGAAAATTTTAATACTCTTAAGGGAAAATAATCTCACAGAATTCCTGCTATCAGAAGAAAGCATTTACAGACTGTCTCTTAAATACTCTGTGACCTCTTCTGTCATCAAGCTTCCTTAGATCACAGAGTTCCTGAGTCGCACAGTCATCCTGGACAGGTGGGAGTTAAAAGTATCATTTATAATCCAGAGACGCAATAAGAAAATACTGATCTACTAGACTGAGATTGTGGCTCAAGTGATGATGATTACGGATGGATGACCTGGTATTTTGAGCTTCCATGAGAAAAAAGTCCACCTAGATCTTTTTGAATCTGCTTGGGAAAGTCTGAGAGACTTGGCCTTTGTCAGCATTTTAGTGGGGTTAGAAGTTACACTACAAAAAGCTGTATTCATTTTTAGATAGGACCATAGCTTCTCCTTTGGCTAATAACAACATGACACATAGTTAGTCACCTTGTCTAAAGGCAGCCTTATATTGGCAGCCTTATATAGGAGTTTCCATGGAAGGATGGAGGGAGTTCAGGCATCTACAGCCCCAGACCATGAGATTTTCTGCTTTTGGATTGTGGGGGAAGAGGGGAAGCAGGGTGTCAGAACCTCTGAGTACGTTCAGAAGAGTTTTCCAGTGCAAATTCCTTAAAATGCCTTTGAAATGTGTTCAGCCTTGTCTTGATGCACCTGATTTTGAGAAGAAAGCAGCTGTAGTATGGATGCAAATATCCCAGATTGGTCTCTGAAAAACTGGTGCTAATTTCGCATGTCAACTGGACCTGCTGCTTTCTCTGCAGGCTTCTTGCCTCTATAGCATCCATGAAGTTCTCAGTGCCATGTCCAGCAATGGGATAGTCATCTGGCCTATGTCTTTTCCTCCATGTCCTCCTACCAAAAGCCACGGTGTAATACAGCGGTTTATATACAGTGTAAAACACCAGAGGAATTACTACTTGCTTTGTAGTCTATTTTTCCACAGTGTTTTTCTTGATCAGGAGGGGCAAGTCTGAGGAGCCTGTTGTGAGCTCTGGATAAAGTTTGCACTGGCACTGGAGCCCTGTGTGTGTCCCCAGGTCTCAGACCGGCAACCCAGGAAGTTCTTTATTTTCTGTACCTGTCCATACTCTGATTGAATGGGGCCGCACTATGCAGTAGGAATTGTTCATGGAAGTTCAAGAGATGTGTCAGGTACTAGCTAGCATGTATCAAATGCAGAGAGGAGTCTTTGGTCCTTACTCTGATAGAATGGGGCCGCACTACGCAGTAGGAATTGTTCATGGAAGTTCAAGAGATGTGTCAGGTACTAGCTAGCATGTATCAAATGCAGAGAGGAGTCTTTGGCTTGTTCCTTTGCTGGGCTTTGTCTTTCTTAAAAGGAATGTGGCTCTTGGTTACATTAGTTTTCATCATGGAAACCTTTCATTTTTGCTATAAGTATTCATCAGGTGGAAGGGGAATAATTTAAGAGTTATGAAACAGAGGTAAAAGGTTAAAGCTAGAGTTAGAAGGTAGGCTTGTCATTAATAATATTAGAAGTGTTTTGACATCAAAATGTGCTTGACCTGAACCTGGCCTATGAGTGTCATCTGGGAAGTATGAGAAAGCTATTCACGTGAAACTTGATAAATACATAAGGTTTATCATTCCTCCTTCAGCTTTCGAGTGATGACACTGAAAAACAGATGGGAGCTCTCTTCCATGACCCATTAATTTCCCTAAATTTCTGTATAATTTTTTGTCTCTTCAAAACATGTATTTTCTAGGTAATGAATCTTGTACAATATCCTAGTGAATTACAAAAATACTAGCAGGGTTAATTGTGGGTATTTTACAGCTGCTTTGTAGAAGGTAAGGTAAGTGTGTTTCTGAAAAGACATAGCTATAAAGTGGATAAAAATAATTGGAGTTTGGGTGTTTTTCAGTGTAGAAGAACATAAAGTAAAATGTTGAGGAATTAATCTTGAAGCATGAATTTGAAGAAGCTTAGCATTTAAAAGGTTGAACGTCTCCAGGGTTCAGCTGCTTGTTTGAAAGTGAGATGAAGATGCATTTTTCTCTCTCAATGGAGAGCACTGCACCTGCACTCCCAAGCAATTGTGTGATTAGAGGCTGTAATGCAGGAAAACAGTGCATGAGCACCTCAGCCATTTCTACATTTTTTTCTATCCTTCTCCTGCCTAAACGATACTCTTTTTACTTGTCTTGCATCCATTTCTGCTTGTTGAGTAGCTGCTTCTGTGTAAAGGCATAAACCCTGGCAGCAGAGTTTTCTTATTTAGGACAGATTATTTATATTATTTATGATTTACGTGTTCCAGACAAAGGCAGTTAAAGATATGCTATGTTTGAAAAGTGGTTTGATAAGTGGATGCATCATTTGGAGAAGGAGGAAACTGGTTTTAGGATCAAAAGTGTTTTGAGGAATTCTTTAAGTTGTAATGGGTCTTGGACCTGAAGCAGGTTTGATAGGTTATGTGTCAAATGTACTCAACAGTACAGAAGGGCGCTTCTGTGACACTGAAGCTACAGCCTTGTGCTTTTTTTGTTGTGGAAGCCAGTCCTAAACTTCCTTGTCATCTTCACCCACTGAGCTGCTTCTTCATGTCAGAGAATGTCTTCCTATCCTTTTTCTGTCAGTCTGCAACACTGCTTTTATGCAGTGTATCTCCGCTGCCTCAAAATTTTGTTAAAAGACCTGGATCCTAAGCTTTTAAGGAGCCTAAAGTGTACCTTGAGTGCCTCTGTTTTCACAGATGTCTTTGAATATCTTTTAAAATGTAAATGTAACAGAATGCAAAGTCTCACTTTGTGCTTCACTGGGTTTGTGCACACTGCATATAGCAAATCCATCAATGTCAGGTAAGCTTCCACTGTTTCCAAAAGCCTACAAATGCAATAGCTGTTACTCATTAAACTGAACATTCATATATATTCTCTAAACTGTGAATATTTTTTTTTCATCCATTACCAAGAAAAGATTCTAAATGCATCAATTATTAACCCTGTAAATCTAGACACAAAAAATCAGGGTTATGAACTTGCTTTTTGACCTCTCAGTGTGTTCAAGTTCTTGCATGTCATACGGGCAGGGCAATATTGTGCTGGTGTAATACTTGTAAAGCAAAAATAGCTCAAGGAGTTTTACTTTATGAACTTGGCACAGTCTGTAATTCTGTGAATGACCCTGGTGAAATATGTATGATGCACATGTGCTGTAAATTGTTTTTTCTTAAATACAGGAAAGAATACAAGGCTTCTAATGTGCTGGCTGATGTGTTTCTAGATTGCACAAAATATATATTTAAAATTGTGCTTCGGGTGTATTGTGCAACATTTTTGAGTTAATTTCCTTTTTTTGTGATCTTCTTGGTTTGCAAATGACCTTCATTAGCAATTACTGTTCTACTTCTAAGATTTTCAATAAAAATACCTGTTTTCAGCTTCTGAAAGGCAAATATCCATTATACCAATACAATTACAGTGCATAAAAAATTGTTATGATAACTTTCTCATTCTTGAACAGCCTCTGGAAATGAGAAATGAAAACTTTCATGGCAGGCAATGTAATTAGTGGCCATATACATTCTACATGAATTGTGATTAAGTACAGTTTTCATCATCCATGGTTTATAAATAGCTGAAAGAGTTCCACTAACCCTGAAAATGTAAAAGCAACTGTAAACTGCTTGAAAGAGGCAACATAAAATATTGTTTAATGAATAAAGAAACTTACAGCTCTTTTAAAATACTTAGTTTTCTGGAGGCACAGTGACACATAGAAGAAAATTGCATTTAATTAAAGCACTTTTAGATATGTAATTTTATTAAGATCTACAAGTATAATCTGACTATTTGCCTAGTCTCCAAGAAAAGAAGTATTGAAAAAGTCTAGGAGTGTACAAACTTTACAGTAAGGGATCTGCTTTAACTTGTGTCATGCCAGCAAGTGTTGTAAATGGAAATTGTGAAGGGATTTAGTTGTCTGTATTGAATTTTGTCAGGAATTACTCAAACGTGCAGTTCTTCAGGGGCAGAAAAAGCTTAAAAATGCAGCTTCCCCAGCATTGTCCTGGGATGATCACCCCAGCATTGGTGATGGCAGAGTAGTGAGTGCAGCTCTGTTGCACCATGGTGCCAGGGTGTCACTCCACATCTCCAATTCATTGATTCTCTTGGTCTAGCAGGAAATGCATTTTATTTTCTCCTCCTCATTTCTGAACAGTGATTCCGTGGAGGCTGCCCAGCCTGCTGCTTTTACAGCATCCTCATCAGCAAACATGCCTGCCCACCAAGAAAACATGGACACAAGATCTGCTACTGCCAGTGCTACATCTGCTGCCGGTCTCAAGCCAACAGGACCCCCAGGTGCTGCCAAGTACTCGGGCTGGCAGCCTGCAAGCCAAGCAGGTAAACGTCAGGGAGGCTTTTCCTTGTTTGCTTAAAGAGGCTTGAATAGCTCAGGAAAATGTATTTCACCTTGGGTGTAAAAGCAACAGCCTTCAAATGGCTGCTTGTGTGTTTTGAGTACAAGCCAGTTTGTTTAGGAGAGAGGAGAAGAAAACCAAATTTAGCAGTTTTAGTAAACCACTAGCCCTTTGTAAGTTACCTCATAGATGTAATTGGTTTCACAAACAAGCAAAATCAGATGTCCGTGACCTCTATTAAAAGCATATATGTCAGTCAAATATATATATGTATATATATACATATACATGCACAGACCCCTCAGTTTCAACTTGGCACTTCCCATGTGACCTCAAATTTCATGCTGTTTCAGGGGTGGGAATATCAACAGACAAGTGTTTTCCAAGTGATCTTTCCTGAAGTTAATTACAAAAAGTAAATACAAACAAAAAAAACCATCCAAACCAAAACTAAAACATTAGAGTGGTTGTGTATCTGATATTTGTAGAGTTTATTTGAGAAGAGTGCCAGAGTATTGCATAGGTTTGTGATATGGAGATTTGTTTAAATAGGTTTTCTTGCAAGTACGATGTAAATAGCTACCTACAGGCTTCGAATGTAGCTTGGTGATTCTTGTCCCTTTAAACCCACACCAAAATGTCTTATGCCTGAAAAGCATGCTGTTTCCTTCATGAATTTCAAAGGATCTAGGAAATCTGTGTTGCTAATTAAGCTTTAACTGGCATTCTTGTAAGAATGAGATTAATATCCTTGATACTCTGACTTTTTTTAGTTCTACTGTTAAGGGTTTTCTGTCTTTAGAAGTGTATTTTAAAAGTATATCCAGTCCAGAAAAGGAACTGCAGAGGCCCTAGCTTAAAAATAAATATAAAACATACGGTGTTAATGCAGTGTGTTTTGTAACGGCTTTGGCACATCTGGCTCAATTACTGTTGTGCTTGGTAACAAATATATATTTGGACATGCAGTTCAGCTACCAAGCCTCAAGATGGCAATACACTGTCATTTCTATACTTACTTCCCTGTCAAATACCGAGTATATTCTTAAGGTCAAAGTAAAGATATAGTTAAATTTAGATAGGTTTAATTCTAGCATTGTTCTACTTTGAGTTAGCTATCATTAGAGGAAAAAAACCTCAACTTTTTTAAAGTTACATTTTTCATAGTATATGTACTTAAGGCTAATGTTTGTGGAAATATGATAATCTTGCAGTTTTGTAAGTGACTGAGTGTGCGTCATGTTTGACATAATTCTCTGAGTTACCAAGTGATAATGTTATTTCACTTGCACAGAAATCACCTGTCAGCTTGGGGTTTTGGTAGTACTACAACCATTTTCAGTGTGTTTGTAGGTGTGTCATTGTTAAAACCTACTAGCATGCCTTAGTATTAATACAAGTCTAATGTTTGAAATAGACTTTTTAAGTGACAGACACATGAAGGAGAAAGATTTTAGATTTTTAATTTAGGATTAATTAAATTACAGTTGATTTCATACTTCTCCAAAAATCTGTGCCCATGCTCTTGGATAATGTTAAAAATCTCTTCACAAAGAGGAACTAAGTCAGTAGATGAGGGGGGAAGCCAGCCAGGGAATTTCTGGGGCTGATGTTGTAGAACACCTTACAAAAAAACTTAGGGAATTTATACTGGTGGAAAAGGAAGTGGAAGGCAGTGGTTGAGAGGATGTCAGCTCCGTACTGCCTTGCTGTAGGGTCCTGAGATGCACTGCTTGACTTCCAAAGGAGCAAAGTCATTACCTTCTCCAAAAATATTGGGGGATCCAGAAGTAAAAACTGTAGGAGAAAAAGGCATTGAAAACTCTTAAGTTTCTTAAAATAGTAAAGTACAGGGAGCAAAATATAACAGAGAGAATGGCAGTGCCCAGGATTTAACAGGGGCAGGAGGAGATAGGATGTCAAGGATGCCAGAGGAGCTCTATTAGCATTTGCATCTCAGGAGTGTGAGGAGTCGCGCACTGCCCCAGGAAGCTGGTCCCCGATGAGGAGCCACTTGCTGAAACAGTGAGGTAGAACAGGCTGTTTGGAGATGTCAAAATAATCTTGGGTTTTGTTCATCTTCTACTTTATCTGACTTATCAGTCTGAAGGCACCTTCATCTTACAGCAGAGTCTGCAAATGTAAAGAAATTACATACCTAGTGTGCCTGCTAGCCTGATTTCTGACTTGAAAGAAAATGTTTTGTGATTTGATTAAAATTCCAGCAGTTGCCAAGGTGCTGGAGGCTTGTCCAGAGGTTATCTGACAGGTTTCACTGAAGGTCTGCCCTGTACACCTGCCCTAAGCTCACCTCAGGTTTAATCTGCCGTGCATTACCTATGTCATTCAAGAAGTCGGTAACGCAAAACTAGAAGATAGGAGAGACTTGAGCATGGTTACAGCAGAGATGGACTCAGCATCTATTTCTCAGGCCTGTATTTTACAAAAATAAAGCATTTGGTGTACCTGAGTTTACTCAGAATGGCTGAACCCAGCAGTCTGACAGGTAAAACTGTTTCAGTAGTTGAGTGTTGATAGAATTAGTCAGATGTTGAAGAAAAAGAAAGACTAGAACTGTTTCTGCTGTTTCTTTGCAGTCTGTGAGCATAAAGTTTTCTTTAAATTGCCAGTGCTTCACAAGCCAAACAAAATTTGGCTTCATAGGTCTTATGCCTGACAAAATTTTAAACCAACCAACCCCCCAAGATTTCATAGTTTCAGTCTAGTTCAGGAAATAATTAGAAAGAAAACATAATCTCATGTAAATGTGTATATCAGCATGCTATTAATAGCATGCTTATTTGTAGTGCAGTTTTGTAGCTCTAATAGCACTCACCCTTCTAATGAATATTGTATGTAACACCAAGTTGTTTCCATAGCAAAGCAGGCATGTTGCAGGATTTTGTTTGTCTGGAGAAGCTGTAATTGGCTGTTTGATGGTGTGGCATGAATATTACCAGTGATTTTATTAAGAATTCTAACTACAGAGATAAGTCATTTTGTTAGACAGCATCTTTTCATTTATTGGCTGGAATCTCCCTTTCTTGTATAGGCCACCAGAGAATACCCTTACGGTTGATTTTTTTCTTTTTTTTTTTTTTGTTTCTTGTTTTGGTTTTCGTGGATTTTGGTTGGGTTTTCGAGATTGTTCAGAGATGCCTAAAGGTGTCGGAGGGTTTCTGTTGGAACTGCACATCTCTGTTTCCTGACCTAGCAAGAAAATGGTGTAGGGGAAAAAGATGGTCTGAAATAAATAGCTGAGATTGTAAGCCTGGACGTGCTTCAAGTACTGGGTTTCTCTGTAGAGATGTCAGTCATGATCCAAGAGATCTTGCAGTGATAGCACCCTTAGAGCTGAAGTATCCTGATCTGCTGCTGCACTCATGGGTTACCCACAAATATACTACACTAGTCACCCACTGTGAAGGTAACAGAGGTTCTATTCTCCTCTGGAATAGAATCCTGGTTATTACAGGATTCCTGAGTGGTTTGGTAGAGGGGTGACTGCCTTTTGTTTTCTTTTAATGCATGGGTAAGAAGGTGGATAAGCAGGATAAAAGCCTGGCTTGTCAACAAATGAACAAAAAAAAAAGTCTCATCTTTGGCACATAGGATGCATGAGGGGTTGAAGATGGGGAGCATGTGAGGGGTGCAGCAGTGCCATCTGCCTGGAGAGTGGTTTCCAGATAACGCATGTGCTACCAGCCTCCCTTGTCTGTGTTGATTTTTTCAGCTGCTGAAAAAAAGTCTCATTGTGGCTGTTACTGTGTGTTGAGTGTACAGGCTAGAATTTATAACAGTTCTCACTCCATTTCTGTTGAGCTGTGATGCTCTGTTCACCCACCAAAGGGAAAAGCTTTTTGCCAGATTATGTCCAATTTAAAAAAAACCTACTCAGAACATCCTAGCTACATCACAGTGAGTCATTCTACTATTTGATAGCTATTATCACCCCAGGGAACCCCAAAGCATTTTCCAGTCCTGGTACCATATGCAAGCACATGATGCATGCACAGGAATGGTGTTCACCCGCCACTGCTATGCAGTCACTTCTTGGGTGAAACGTAACAGCTGCTTGTCAGCACACTGTAATACTCCATGGCATCTTGAAAGGAAGTGAGTAGCACCGTGGCAAATTGAAACTGCTGGGACAATTGAAGAAAGTATAATTACACAGTAAATGCAGTTACACAAACTGGAGTTTGGCCAGGAGACGAGCTGTTCTTGCAAAAAGAGCAGCAGGATCTGCAATGTTCAGAAGTGGTCAGGACTTCCAGTGTTGCATTTCTCACACAAAAATGCCCTCACTTTGTAGCATCTTCAAAAGGCTGTTGTTGGCAGGGGAGCTGCTGGTGCAGTGAGACCAGAGAGGCTGGGTACCAGGCATGACACTGCAGCGTGCTCCATGCAAGAGCTCGGCAGGCAGCGTCCTGCTTCACTCTTGGGGGTCTGTTTGGATTGTGGGTATCTCATGGTGAGCTGGTACAGCTGGTGACCAGAAAAGCTGGTTTGCTCCTTGGAGAGGAGGGCTTATTTGTAATTGATGACCTTTGTTCCCCCTAGGCATAGACAGCTGAGTTACAAAGATGGGATGGGGGTGGGTTGTGTTAGAAGTGTCTGAAGCTTGCAATTTTAAGTGAACAGTTATTTGCCTGTGCCAGTTTCCATATTCCCAGGGTTTCTCTCAGCCTGATACCACTGGGATATATAATCCCCTTCCAGTAGAGCTGCTTGGGAATGTCAGCATATTCTGCAATACCCACAACTGTCAGTTGCCTAATCCCGAGCCAGCACATGTGTTAAGCACATGCTTCCTTCAGCAGAGGGAACGCATTTGGAAGCTGACTGTAAGCATAGAAAAATTCTGCTCTTTCCTTGCAGTTGTTTTCATGTGTTTGATATACTTGTGTTTACCATCTCTGCAGTTACCCTTAGCATGCTGCTTTGCTGTATTTTTTTATATATATTCCGTTGCCTTGATAA